CCAGATGTTTCCTCCCTAGGGTCTGAAACAGACATATGCAAGAGCATTCCAGGGGCTTTTATACCTTGCTTATAAAGTCTTTCTTCTGCTCGGAGAAGACACAGCCACTCAGACACCCTATAACAACGTTTTGTCAGCTTTTCAGGTAGAAGCTGCCCAGCTCAGGGTTGACAAGGAACAATAACACTGTCACACGTTGCCCCATGCAAGCTGCAGTCTCTCAGGAGCATAGCAGGCGTATGGGGAACTGAAGTTGCCGTGCCCGCTATCCCAGCATCCCAAACATGGTCTGAGGTGACTCAAAGCAGTAAGATCACCCCATGGCTGTTAACACATGGAGAAACTAAACCTTGGCTTTCTCTGAGGAGCAAAGTAGGACATGCAATGGGCATGTCCCATATCTTTGACTCTTTCTTTAGACAGTGTCTTCTTTTTAACCCATCAAAGCTTCACCATTATCATTTCTAGGACAGACAGTGGGATGTTGGGATAGACAGAGCCTGGATCTAACTCTAAGTGACGCTTCCTGGATTTTTCTGTGTCAGCTAGAGCACAGTGCAGGAGAGCGGGACGCTACCGAGCTGGCACTGCTGTAGACTATGACCACACCAGTGGTGGGGGTCTTTTGCCAGTTGTCCAGAAAGACGAGGTGTAGCACAGGAGAGGGATCAATTTACACTGAGAAAGGCTTCCAGCAGATTTCCAGAGCCATCCACCGTGAGGAGAAAGTAATCAAAAAATCTCACCGTGACTTCCCTGTTTTGTATGGAAAGAATGCCAATGGCCTTGAAGACAAAGTCCGTGTTCTGTCTTTTAGAGGTGGCCCGAAAGAATGATGTCACAGGGTTGTATACACAGTATTGCACTGTTGTAAAAGGTAGTTGGGCACACACGGAGAGCTCCTCACACCTCAGCAGGATGGCTGTTACATCAGCTAGAGAACAAAAAAGAGAACAGTCACCTCTACAGCAGGACAGCCTAGGCTCCAGGAAGGTGACAGCAGCTTCAGGCAGGACGCTGCTCCAGTGCAGTCTGTTGAATCCCATGCTAACAGCTCCTAAGAGTGCTTGGGGGATGAACACTGTGTGGGAGGGCAGGGCAGACAGGCACAGATCCCATGACCAAGTCCACAGCGCGTGGCCACAAGCGTGCCTGCACCCAGCGCACTCCAGCTAAGTCTATGCCAGACTCACAGAGAAGCAACGCAGGAGCAAAATGCCAGGACTGCACAGCAGCATCCTTCTGTCTCCCTGCCCCTCATACCTCGCACCCAGGTGATGTTTCAGTCACATGGAAGATGGGGTTATGTAAAAGAGAACACCTCCAAACACACACCCAAGCTCCTTCTGCCCCACGTCACACTGCACCTGCACTGACCAACGAAATAGCAAAAGTGGCCATCCACGAGTCCTTCCACAAACTCTTGTCCTCATCTTTGGTTCCAGGCTGTCTGCAAGTGACTTCCACTCACTATGCTCTAGAAGGAGCCTGGAAAATTTATCAGGAACTCTGGCCTTTGCCCTTAGGAGTAGATGGGCAGCACCATAAAGGTGGAGCGTGAGCTTTATCTCAGATTCATTAGGAAAAGCAGCTCCAATAAATTATAGTCTGAAAGCATTAGTCCTAACATTGCATAACCATGGATGGTACGGAGCCAAGCATGAAAGCAATTAAAGAAGGGATCCACTAGCTGAAGGTGCGTTCTTAGAAAAGGACACCCAAGGGATCTTTCTGAGAAAATGGTCCTTGGTGGCCTGTTCAGCTTGAACAAGCCCAGGCTGTTCTCAGGTCATGTTAAGGCATTCAGTCGTGCCTTAACAGCGGTTAGCATATGCCTCAAGGGTGGTGCAAGGGCAGACAAAAGTTTTAATCCATTTTCTTACCAGGAACAACAGCTTCAGCATAGTTGAGTTTGTGTTCATTGGCACTCACCTCGGATATGTGAAACATGGGGCTCTGCACAACCAAAACCTTGCTGTTCACAGTGCACATGTAGTCTTTAGGAACATAGAATGTCCTGATTCCTAACAGTCAGACACCCTAAGAACAGTGGGGGTAAAAAGAAGGAACGATTCTGACATTCAGACCAACCTAACTCAGCTATATGCAGAAATAACTCTGAGGGGTTCTCTCAGAGCATTAGCAAAGACTCTCACAATGGCAGCTAAAAGCAGACCAAGAGGAAAGCTCAAACAGTGCTACTTAGTTTTTACAGGCACAAATTTATTCAGACACAGGCACAAGTCAGTGCAGCAGCAAAGGGACCCACTGCCAGGGGTCTCACCAGGGCACAACCTTCCCTTCCCAGTCCAGGAAGGTCCCGGTCTCCTTCTCGGAGAGGGAGGAGAGCACCTTCACCATCCCTTGTATCCTCTCGTCCACCGTCACGGGGGGCTGTGGGGGAAGAAGGAGAACCAGAGACCTGTGCCCAAGGCCAAGCTGAGGTCTTCCCTGGAGCAGATCATTGCTTGGACCTGGGGCTGACTGGTTGAGTGAGGAGAGGCCAGCACGGGGCAAGAAGCATCTGCCATCACCTTCCCTCATGTGCCTCTAGCTCAGAGCATCTGCCAAAGGGCTCTCCCAGAGCCTGGCATGCCTGGGACTGTTCCAACCACAGGAAGCTCTACATTCCCAAATAAAGAGGTTCTTCCAGACCTTGGCCAAAAGCTCTCTTACCTTTTGTGATCCTGATCTTGTCATGTCTGTTTGCACCCAGCCGGGGTGCAGAGCAGCGCAGAGGATGCCGTGCTCCCGGTACCCCAGGGACTGGCACTTGGTCAGCATGTTCAGGGCAGCCTGCGGGGAGACAGGGCATGGGAGGGCAGCTGGAGCCAGCTCCCTGGGACACACGGTGCTGCTGCACCATCCCCATGCAGTGTGGTGGTACCTTGCTGCAGCGGTAGGAGACAACTTGTCCATAATCCCACAAATAGACTTCCTCAATGGAGCCGGCAGAGCTGGACATGTTGATGATGGCTGCCTTGCTGCAGCTCAGCCCTGAGCCTGCGCTCCCCTGGGCAGCCTTCTTCAGCAGGGGCAGGAACGCCTGCGAGGAGAGAGGAAAGGAGACAGGGGCTCACACGGAGGTGACACAGAGGACAGGACCAGCTCACCAGCACTCCTCACTTGTCTTCCCACTGCCTCAGCCTGCCAGGCTCCAGCTCCTGAGATCCAGACTGTTGCTCCATGAGCTCCTCATGACGTGAGAGTCCATCAGGCACTGGAGTGGAGGCAGGACCCTCTCCCACTGGCCCTTTGCAATCCCCCCTGGACAGCCCAGAACCAGTGACATGGGAAAAGGGATCTCCCCAGAACTGTACTGTTGTGCTGGGGAGAGGGTCTCACCTGGCT